TCCTTCAAGTCCTCGATGTCCTCCTTCGGCAGCTTCGCGATCGCCCACCATTCCTGGTGCAGATCCCCGAACGTCGGCAGCCAGAGCGGGATCGAGAACACGGCCGACAAAGCGACTGCCAGAGAGGCCGACCGATTTCTGCCGTGGGAACCTCGGATTGTTAAACTAGAAGAAGAAAACCTCGCACAAACTCTGAACACGAATCACTGAATAAATTGAACCCAGCTACAGATGACCTGCAGCACCGAACGACCCTCGACGTACAGCAGGGTGTCGAGAATCCCGCAGAGCATCACGAACGCCGGGCCGAACTCCTCCTGGTCGCGAGCGGCCTTCCAGGCCCCGTAGACGCACATCGGATTGCCTGAGTTTGTATGCAAAATCAGATACTCGCACAAGCCACTGACTGCTCCGACACATGCTCTATCTACTTTAATAAGTTAAGATACCCGGTGGACTCGCAGCTCGTGTCTTGACGTCGGACGGCCAAATGCCCCGAACGTCGATAGACACTTGGGTCGCCTCGAGGTCGTACCACCTCTTTTTCATAAACCAGGGGCAAACCGAGTGGCCCTTTTGTCCTCGGTGGTGGCACATGGAATGCAACCTTGAACCTTCACCTGGACTCAAATTGAACTCAACACAACAAACCTTAAATGCATCGGGCTACCGACCGTCCCGGACTTCGAGGTCGTCCTGTAAATCTCCTCGGCTCCCCACGCGACCAGGAGAGGCCCGTCATGCCACGGGCCCTCGTCGACCTTGTCCTCGAGCGACTGATAGTCCAGATCCTCGTCCGTCTTACGAGGGCCCCGACGACCGGCCATGGATGCAAAACGAACGGCACACGTGTGCCGAAAGACCCCCGAAAAACCCCGAACGGCCCAATGACCGAACGACCGAAAGACCCGAAAAGCCCAACACCAAACTGTGAAAGCGAAAATCTGTGCATGACATGCTCTGCAACTGCCTAATGTGACATGGAATGCAACCTGAGAAAAGGATCTCGGGAGCCTAAATGATGCAAAAATGCACAACATCAAGCTCATGCAGAAGAAACATGCTGTGCACAACATGTGAGGCAAACAACTCGGAATGGGCACAACTCTCCTGCATGCAAGCTTTCAAACCCAAACTCGTGCCGGCCGCACCGTCCAATGTCGAAGTGGGTGATGTCGAACGGCCAGGAAAACGAACGACGACGAACGACGAAAGACCTAACTTCACCCAAAAATTAACTTGAACATTCTCGGCCTCAAACCAAACCTTGATGCATACTGATTTCTTCTCTTAAACGATCATAAACAAACCCACCCGAAAAGTATCAAATATACACTGCCCCAACAACAAATTATCTCACTAAATCCTAAGTCCCGAACCCTCAAACCAGGACCTAACTTATCCCAAAACCTTAAGCTTTAGGGGTCTGTTCTGGGGGGGGCCCGGGGGGGGGGCCAAAATATGCACTTAAAGGTTGCTGAATTTAAAGGCTGCTATTAGGCCTTCTGAATATAACCCCAAGGGTCCCTTTCAGGGTCTCTCCTAAACCAAAACCCTAAGCCCTAAACCTTAAACTTTCACCGCGCTCAAGGATTTTCGGGCTTGAGGGGTTTTTCTTGCACGCGTAGTCTCAGGTCCTTCCATCGACTTGAAACCTTTTTTTTGTGCACTTTTCTGCTGCTGCATACGGCTAGGATCAGAGTTTGGAGCTTTGGACTGCTTTGCAAGATGCGGCTGCACACCAAAGGTCCGCACCAGAATAAGAGTTTTGGGGCTAGCCCTAAACCCTAAACCTAAACCCCAAAAGCCTGAACCCTAAACCCTAAGCATCCCTAAGCCCTAAACCCTAAACCCTAACCCCCAGTTCAACTAAATCAGGATTCTTCGCCACAGCGGGGCCCGAGGCTGACGGGTTTTGGAGTCGGGAATTCATGTCACTGAGCTTTTGTAATGATGGCTCATGAACTCCTGCAAGTTCGACAGGTTCATAAGGTTACCCTAAAATTACTAAACCCTAAACCCTAAACCCTGAACCCTAAACCCTAAACCGTGAGCTTTCTGGGGTTCTAGCTCCTCAGAGCTTTGTAGCTTCTTCGCCGCTTTGGAACTCGCAGCTTCACCGCTGTGGGACGAGGTTTAGAGGTCCACGGTCGACTGATTAGTCCTTAGGCCCTAAACCCTAGGCCCTAAACCCTAAGCCCTAAAGCTTAAGCCCTAAACCCTAAAACCCCAAACCCTAAACCCTAAGCCCTAAACCCTGAGCCCCAAACACGAAACCCTGAGTTTAGGGTTCATGAGCTTCGGTGCGGAGTTGAGGTCCAGGTGTGTGGCGTGGGCTTTGCACCTGTGATCCCCTAACTAAACCCGACGCCCTAAACTCTAAATTTAGGGTTTAGGGTTCAGGGTTTAGGTTGTAAAACCTAAAATCTTAGAGTGTCTGGACTTTAGGGCATGGGGAGCTCTGCACAACCCCTCAGATTTCATGCCAACCTTTCATCAAAGCCCTCAAGGCCCCCCTAAACCCTGAACCCTAAACCCTAAACCCTAAACCCTAAACCCTGAACCCAACACCCCAAGGCCCCCGAAACCCTAAACCCTTGAAGGAACCCCTGGAGGAAGACGTTTAGGGCTTTAGGGGTTTATGGGTTGAGGGGTTTAGGGTTTCGGGTTTAGGGATTTAGGGTTTAGGGCTTAGGGGTGTAGGGGTTAGGGGTTTAGGTTTTAGGGCTTACTGTTTGAGGGTTTCGGCTC